TTCATCGCTGATAAGTATCAAATGTAGCATTTATATTGAGTCTTTTGTAGTCTCAAAGTAACGAACTTTTTATGTGAGCATAAATATATATTTTTTGGAAGCTAAAACATGAGAAGTGAAGTTTTCGTTTGCTTGCTGCTATGGCTTCTGGTACATCATGCAGAAAATTGAATCAGATGCTGATGTTTGAGTTTATGGAATTTGAGAAATTTTCTACTTCTGAAATTGAAGTTTGTTAAATGATTTTGTATGGGGGGGCTTGTACATGAATGATGTTTTTTAGAAATCTATCAAAGTTTTAGCTTAAAAGATCATTGATCAAATGAAACTTGAGGGCAATTTCATCATAAATGAACAGCTTAAGCTACATTGACGATGGTGTCTCTATTCAGGCGCGTAGCCATGAGGGTTTTGTCCCCCTCTTAAGCGTTTTAGGACGTGTTCTCACTGCGGTTCAAAACTTTTTAGGGGGGGGACAAGACCCTCCTGGCTACGCGCCTTTCTCTATTAGAATTAGTGATCTTAATGTGTTGAAACTTAGGAATAATCCTGTAAAACTTAATTCAACTTGTTTTTTGAAAGTCTCCCTATATTGAGAAAAACAGATAGAAGTCATAGTATTTCGTTTTGGAGTCATAGCTAGCTAATTAGGATTGATTGGATTAATTGAATAAAGTCCTTGAATAATGAGTGAATTCCTGAACACAAGACATCATACGTTAAAGACTCATTTATATAATTTAACACTCAAAAATGTAATGAAGCTAACTTCATACTCGATTTATTAATTTTTTCCACAATTTTTGAAACTCAATCATCATTATCTGCATTTCATGTTCACTATGCGGAATAATATGAGAAATTTAATAGTTCATCGCAGTTGTAAGTAGCATTCATCATTCACTGCTCAATTATAAGAATCAGTTTTCATTTTAAAATAGCAAAATTAACACAAAAGCACCAAAAAAGTAAAAAAAAAAACCAAAAACTTTGGAATTCATCTCATTTTATAAATGTAATTTACTCCTAATTACTTCCAAAAATGAATATGAATCCCACGCAAAACAATATTTCAATGAAGACAATCAAAAAATTTTCATTTAAACTTTTCTCATCATTTTCCACTCAACATCCTTTCCGCAGTAAAACTCAACATATCGAATAAATAATTTTAAAAGTGCTCTATAAAAAGGCATGAGGAAGGGATTGATGGATTTCTCAGATAAAATCGAATAAATAGACCTTTGTGAAATGCGTAAAGAGGAAATTCTTTTCATCACCAAACATTCCTCATCCACACTCAGAAAGAATTGTAATGCAGATAAGTGAAGAATTCATGAATACAAAAGGAATGGAATCGGGTGAGTTTATCCTTTCAGGACTAAATTGAATTGAAGAATGAGTCAAAATTCTCCAGAGAAAGTGAACCGGAAAAATCTAGGAAGGAATAAAAGACGTCAGTCTATCAAAATCCTTTTAACACATTTCCTTAGAAAATCAAAAGATTATTGGAAGTGACGTAAGACATGGGACTGAAATTGGAAATAGTCTGAAAATGGCAAGATTATGGCTTGTCAATTGAAATAAAGTTTAAGTTGAAGTTATCTAAAGTGATTTTTGTTGAGAATTGGAGATATTTATAACTTTGAAGTCATATCTTTAGAAGATAGGCTAGAAGACTATTGAAAAAAAAACTATAAGGACGAAGGATAAACAAATTAAAGAAAGTTTATCTGTAACCAATTGGATGTGATTTTTGAACACTAATTCATAATTACTTAAAAATTAATTATTTTAAATGCAATTGCAGAGTTCAAATTTCATCAAACCTAGTTTTATTTAAGATTGTAGTTTGATTTTTATGCAGTTTGTTGTTAATGACTAAGTTAAATTGAATTTTTACAACTATTGATCAATAATTAAACCAAAGAACGAAAATTATTTTAGAATTTTGTATCAATCATAGAAGGAAGCTGAGTAAGATTGTGAGTTGATAAGTCGATTCTGCTTTATGTAAACAACTAGTTTTTTTGCTGAATCCTTTAGAATCAACGAAAGTTTTCAATGGTTGATAAAATTAAGACTATCTTACTGGGGACTAATCAGGAGCAATTAAGAGTAGCAGTGTATCAAAATACTTGAAAAAAACTAAATAAATTGAAGATAATGGACTAGCTATGCACTTTTCTTTAAAAAATTTAAATTTACCATCCCATGACTTTACAAATCCTGAAATCTCATCTTATGGCGAGGAATCTAATTACCTCGAAAATGTTTCGCAAATTTTAATATTGTGTACAATGACTTAAAGCATTTCCATGTTAAGAATTCTTAAACATCAGAAGTCATTTTCATTAAATGCCAACATTTGCATGGTTACACTCAGATACATCTTCTTAAAACAGCCTCTAAATCTCCGCTTTCTTTGTTCATTTACTTATATACATAAAGTATTGTATTAAGCCAAAATATAGCGTGTAAGGAAAACTTCTTTGTTAAATTATTGCCGTATTTGTATTTATTAAGAAAAACTGTGAAAGGCACACATACACAAACACAGCCCAACTGTGTATAGAGAAAATTGCGACAAACGGAAGGTATGGAAAACAATAAATATTTTTATGAACTGTGTGTAACAAAGGTACGGGAGTTATATGATTTCAAGTATGTATATATCTATTCACAAAAGATGTGAAAAAAATAAGAAAGAAAAATTTTTATGATGCTAAGCCATTTCAGCATAAAAGTGTGCTGTTTTATATGTAAATTCGTCTCAATACTGCCGTACGTACTACCGAAAATTGCATGGAAATAACGTAAAAATGTCTCATTCATTATTCTTTATGATCAAGGCGGTATTACTTTATGATTTTTGACATAAAATTTGTTATTTATTGATCTCGAAACTATCCTTGCATCTGGTGCTTATTTACACATTTGATGCTGTAACCTTGTCCTTATTTTAGTTGGACTTGTGTTGCTGAATGAGATTTTAAGGTGTTTACTTTAATTTTCGTGAATATTTCAAACTTTTGTTAAGTTAAAGAATGATTTTTGGCGGGAATTTTACGAAACTAGCAAAGATTTCATCAAACTCAATTCAAACTAGTCAACAACCTTTAAACAACACTTTAAAGCATAGATTCATGTTGCTACTAGAAGCTACAATTGCCAATTTAGATGAAAAGATATGCATTTTTATATTCCAATGCTAAATTTAATATCAAAACATATCTCATGGATTTCAATCGAGATTATTCTGTACTTATTATAAAATAAATGCTTCCATGAGCATCATTGATCACACGTACTGTGCTACAAATCTCCAACGAACATGCACAGCACATATATACGTCGATGAATCGATAAATATAGTTTCATGTCGATTACATTTAATAAAGTGAACATAAATTACAGCAGTTCCACCCCGAAGATATTCTCATTGCATTTTGTCTTTCACTTTCTCTCATTTTCCCTCAAGAATTAAGGTAAAAGATTTTTTTTTATGTATATGCGGAGGTGGTTGCTAGTGGAACACGATATATAAAATCAAGACTTTGTACTTAATACTCACAGGTATGGATATAATAGCGAATATCCTTGCATTGTCGTAGAGAGAACAAACAATTTTTCTTTATGTTCAAGCAAATTAATGGAGAATAAATTCCAGACTCTCCAGATGCATAAATGATGAAAGTTTCTTACCTAGAAAAATAGAAAACAGAAAAAAAAGGTTTTAAAAATGTTTTTAGAAAAAAAGTCAAGTGCTATAAAAGTGCACATCCAGTCAAAGAGCTCTCTTTATATCCATTTATTCAACGGGTTGATTTTAAAGAATATGGGAAGCTATGTTTTGTATGTGTGAATGATAAACTTTAGTTTGTGAAAGAATTGTTCTTAGAAACTGTCCTTTTAATGCTTTGTGACTTTTTGATCTCTGTACAATGCTTTTTCTGTCTGTTGAATGTACAAAGGAATCTTTTTTGAAGAATTCTAAAACATTTGTAGTGCCAGAAGTTGCCATAGAACCAGAAGTTTGTTGTGTTCTTGACGCGGAACACTTGTTTCTGTTACAAAGCAGGTTAGAGTAGTATTTTGAATTGTTCATAAATGTTTTTTATAAGAAAAAGGGTTAATTGGATCCAATTCCTAACCTATGTCAAAAACTGATAGTTCTTAATCTTAAATCTCGAAGTCGACCTTAATATAATTAAATCTTATCTTCGTGTTGACTTTCTACTAAGGTAATCAGGTCTAGTCCACTTTTCGCTATTCAAGATCTTTGCAAAGGATGCAACCTTAGCTAACGGTCTGAGTCTGATTGTAGGAGCTTTGTCCTATGTGGAGCTTAGGTTACAACAAAAGGCTTTCTATCTGATTCAGATCAAGACTGAAGTACAGTTATATCTGCTAAGATTGAACGAATGGATTGAGATCTTTAAACCAAACCTTAATCTTTGAGAGATAACCTATGATTCCATCAAAGATACTCATTCTTTCCCCCATAAACACAACTTAAACGATCTTCTACCCTATTACATCCCATTCATCTTCACAACATCCAATAAAACGTTCCATTAATATATCTCATTTATGCTCTTTCGATTTTAATGGTTTTGTGTGCAAAGCAGGATTAATAACTTCAATGTGCATAAAAAAAACTGCAGAAGTGCATTTGAAGAATTTTTTCCTCCTGCTTCCATCAGTAATTTGAAATTCCATCATGAAAGTGCAATTTTAAAGTGTAAAAAAATTCTCAAAAACTTTTCACGCCATTCTTTTAACTTCAAATGGAAATAACACGAAGTAGTTCAAACGTGTGCTTGTCGTGTCTGAACCATAAGTGTGAAAATGAGTTGTAAAATGTTCAATAGAAACTTTAGAAAATAATCAACGAAATAAGTTTAAAGCTGGATAATTATTTAATTAAATGTAGACCAACTTCTTAATCCTTAAAATTATGGACGTCTTAAGCATGCATATCAACAACTTCCTATCAATTAAATTTTAATACTCGACTTTTTATTAAAATTGAACTAAAAATCAGTACAGTCTTTAACTATTCAAAAAGTTTCTATCCTTTCCGTCCACCGCTAATAAAATGATGCTTAAACTGATCTAAAGCCGTCCTCGAAATCACAACATGGAGTAAAATTTTTTGGTTATCTTTAGGATCTGCGTCACTAGACGTGACTGCTGAATTTTTATAAAGCCATTGCATCTCATCACCGCCCATAGGAACTCGAATTGTTATTTTTAAACGATCTGTTGCCTTCAGCAGCAAATCTTCAACTTTAATCATGAGATCATTCATGCCAGACAATGTTGTGGATGAGACAGTGATTAAGTCGTTAAAGTCCCTCGACTTTTCATCAACCAAATCGATTTTGTTGCCAACATTTATGACATTATCTAATGTCACATCATCATCATTTCGTCTAATGCTCTTCAATAAGTTCTTTAAAGTATTTTCCACATGAGTTCTTTGCAATATCCAATCATCATGAGAAACATCTTGTACGTGAACGATGACATCAGCTTCTAGGGCATCTTCGAGTGTGGCAACAAAACATTCAATAAGTGCGGTAGGTATGTCAGACATGAAACCAACGGTGTCCATATAAAGAACCTCTAAACGACATGGAAGTAAGCCAGCATGAGCAGTCACGTCAAGTGTTGCAAAAAGTTGATTTTTTGGTTGTAATGATGCCTCATCCGTCAGTGCCTTGATTAACGAAGTTTTGCCACAATTTGTATATCCAACAATTGCAATAACTGGATATTGCTTCTGTTTTCGTTTATTGCGCAATAACTCACGATGTGTACGGAGCCTCTCAAGTTCAATTTGGATTCTCTTCTCGCGCTTTTTCAACATCATTTTTTGTGAATCTGTAAGGTATAAATTCTGTCCGACACTTCCCTGTAGCTCCATATCTCTTAATTGTGACCAAATGTATGGAATTTCAGCCAATGCTACTTGTAATTTAGCTTCTGTCGTTTTAGCATGTAGACGTAAGATTTGTACAACAACTGAATATCGATCCATAACAGGAATACCAAAGAACTTTGACAAGCTTAATTTCTGAACAAATTTCAATGTTCCTTTGCTAACAAAGATGCATGTTATTGGACGTCCACTTGAATTACAATTATTAATTATTTCTCTCAACTCGTCTAGCTTTCCACTTCCAAAAATCAATTTTCTATCCATGTTCTCGAGTGGCACTTTCAAACTCACTTCGACATTCCAATTTAATGTTCTTATTAATGATTCAGACTCAGCAAGTTGATTCTCGGGCTTTATGTCTTTTACCTTCTTCGGTCCCCATTTTACGTACGGTTGAAGTACAATTACATTGTGGATATTGAGGAGCTTTTGATTTGTTACATGCATGGCACTGCTTACAATTGTGTCGTACTCACTGGATGTGGGATAATATTATTTATTATTATTTTTATAATAGATTTTGATGGATCGGTACGACAGATAAGAGGACATGTCCATACTTACTTATCGTCCAAAATATTCAAACTCTCTGATTCTACATCCTTCTCCTTTCCTAAATCAACATTTGTGCCTGTTTCAAATTTTCCATGATGTGTATTTCCACTCTCCCTTCGTCCACTTCTTGGATTATTGTTTCCTGAGGAGCTATGCTTATATCTAGCTGTTGTTGACGATAGTGACCAAACAGAGGATGATAAACGATGAAACTTTGATAAGATTGAAACTGTACGAAATGCAATCATGTTTTGTAAACTTCCTATGTGTCACTGAGTGATGTGTGTTTATTTTCGGATGCTAGCCAAGCAGCTTGACAGGATTTTGTACGATCCGATGTAAGTTTGTATGCTGTTGCTGAGCCAACAAGAGTCGATATAAGGATGTTTGTTTGTAAAGCGTAAGGTAAACGTCTCTGTATAAGCTTCTGGGTGAAGTAAATGCTTGAGAATCCTGTGACAATGTAGAACAAGATTTTCATCACGTATTATGAACATCCAGTAAGACTTTTATTCCTTACCCAAAGTAAAACCAGCTAATCCTGTGAAAAGTGCTCGTGTCATACACTCCAAATAGCTTCCAAATCCTGGATGTTTGTCCTTTTGTTGCTCCTTCAACTTTTTAATGTCGTTCATCACGTTTAAATAGTTTAATCAATTTATTTTACTCAATATTTTTGTGTAAATAAAGTTGCAAACTGTCGAACTGAAAACCTCCTGAATAATCCGACGTCAATTGAAATTCCATGGGAAAATTCAAATATTTTTCCGTTATTTTTATGACACGTGACACCTTTAACATTTTAATTATGAAACTTAATACATCTGTTATTGCCAATGCAGAATAAAATATGTCAATATTATATTTAATGTGTTTAATTATCAAATTTCACTTATTATTAAAATCAAGAACAATGCACAAACATTGATTTAATGAATTTTATGTAACATTATGTTAACAACAATGTTTATCCGACCTTATTTTCGCGGTAAAGATAATTTATGAGCCATAAGTTTATGAATAATATTTTTGCATTCAATTATTGAAATAAATTAAACTTTTTTTCCATATGCTGTGAAATTATTTAATTTTCCGTAAAACTTTTAATGAAGTGAGTTAATTAATTTTTAATTAAAGGATTGTCATTTGGTGCTAAAAAAATCACTTTCAATAATTTAACAAAAGAATATTTTGATTCAATTGGGGGAGGGTGAAAACAAAGTGAGGTTGACAACAACATTCTAGGAGTATTCAGGAGCCAAAGTTTAAATGGAAAGCTCAACAGCCAGGGTTGCTGAATCTTGCCCCCCCCCCCCCCCCTATTTCTTCTGTTACTGGTTAAGCCTGATTCTCAAATAAGTCAATGCTCAAACTACTAAACATAAGGCAGTCAAGAGAAGTGAATAGGCACTTACTTAAAAATTGAGGTTATATTTTTTACATAACCTCAATTAGTTTTCTTAAAGTTTTTACAAGATGTCATATCTGAATCTCATCTACGACATGACTTTTTATGCATAACAAATCTCAAGAACTTTGCTAGCTTAACATGATTTCAATCTAACAGCATTACACAATGCAAATCTTCAACTCCAAAATTGAATCATAAGCATGAGAAAACATTCTCACAATTAATGCAGAATATGTAAAAATATTTCCAGCAACTCTTCTCTTTTTCTTCAGAATAAAAGAAAACTTTTTTCCAAAAAAATCCTCAAGCATAAAATTTTAATTTCAAATTAATGCACATTCTTTATCCGAACACATTTTTCAATTATGCTCATTAGGTACCTTTAACGCTTCTCATTTAGTTTGTACCGCAAAAAAAATTCTACTTCCTGTCTCGCTCATTACCTTTTGCTTTTAACTTTTCACACAGAAAAAAAAAAGTTGATTCGAGTAAAAGTTTTTTTAAAGCTTCTGCAAACTTTGTTCTTTTCTCCATTTTTCATTATCTTTTGTAAAGTGAATGAGTGGAAGCGAGCGACTTTTAAGCTCAACGCAGATGATTTTGTTTGAGTAGGAGGAGGGAAGCAGTAGTTTTCAGACATTATTTATAGCAACTTAAATTGTTTACTGAAAACCGAAAAATCTTTTGCCAAAACAGGTATGAGATAGCTGTTGAGCATGTACGTAACAGTTTTCAGAAGAAAAAAAGTCAAAAATTGGGTTATTTGGAGGTTAAGTAGCTCTACAAAACTGATGTGTTGGATCTTACACTCAGTAATGCAACTAGCCCGAATGGCACAAGTCGGTTAATTTAAATCGAAGCTAGCACCATGCCACATTCACACCGGCTTGTTGCTGGATTTCTAATCGATTAACCGACTTGTGCTATTCGGGGAGCTTCATAGAACACTTAAAAGTTATTCAGCAATGTTACAAAACATCCAATCAACCCCACAGCACACTTTTTCGGATGTAGCAGAATAAACAAATTTTTCTTCACACTAAACCAACATCTTTATGAAAACTTAAACATGCACGACAAAAAGTAAAGTGATAAGAAGTTCTTGTACGGTTGTTTTACTTTCAGCTTATGAAGCTATATAAATCCCTCCGGTCCATTGCATAATAATTTAATACGCTAATGCAAAAAGCTAATAAAATTCTATGATACATCATTTGTTGTCGACATCAGTGCATTAACAGCCATTTCCATATCAATTTTCAGCGCTAAATTGATTCTGATGTGCACAAAATAATCTTTTAGAGGTAGAAATTAGCTTCGAGGGACTCATTTGATGCTTTTATTTTAGAACATATTACTTGTTGATTCTTGTTTGCTGACGATTTCACAACTGTCAAAATATATTAGATTGTGTGGAAGTTTTCAGGAAATTCAATTTTAGAGCATCGTTGATATTGAGTTTCATGTTTTCCATTAAGTACCAATACTTTAAACATCAAACCAGGAAGTATTGCATCATTTAGATATCAATAAGTTTATTAAATAGAATGAGAAAGTTAATAGCCATTGTTTTGTTGCAATTGGATTGAGTTATCAAAAACTTAGTGCAGTTTGGTTCTGTTTAAGGACTGAAACTCTTTTAAACTTTGTTTAAATTCAAAATTGTTCCTAATTTCATAAAAAAATAACAAGAAACCGTTCCCAAATCATTGTAAAAGCTCGTAGACGTTTGATTTACTTCCTTAATGTAAATGCAATCGGTGTTAAGGCTATAGATAATTAAAATTAAACTCTTGAAGACAAATGTTTAGTTTCGGAGTTAAAAAACAGATTAATTATTTCTATGAATGCATAAACAACTATAAAGTAAAAAAAAAAACAAATTCTATTTGTAAATACAATTTAAATATTAAACGAGACAGTTGATATATTCTCAACAAGCTATAACTTATTCAAACAACCAATAAATCAACCCAAAACATTTTTAAAGTCGAAATTTTCACAATTTTAATTACAAATTTCCCCATTCTAATCATAGACTTTAGTCAACAAGAAAACATAGTTTCAGATATGAAAGATAAAGTCTGCAGCACTTTTTGCTTACTTTTAAAAAATATAGCAAAACAAACATTTTTGTAAAATTGATATTCATTGTTTGTTGTGTCCCTTACAGCACTAGTTTGAAAAATTTTCAATTAAAATTTTATGTCAGATTATGAATTTTAATGGCCGTTTAACATATCGTTACACGAATATTTTTGTGTCTATTTATAGACTTTATGGATATAGTGTATGAGATATCAAAGTTGTAAATATGATAACAGAGAAGGTTCAAGTCATGCACAAGCATCATTTTTTATTCTTTTTCTATGAATGCATTAATATTATATCTATGATAGAGGATATTTGATATCTGAATAGAGAAATTGATAGTAATGAAAATTCATAGATCGATGCAACATAGTCAGTAATTGGTTCTAAAATGCCCAAAGCCATACAACAGAAGCATCAAATGTAAAATGTCCTGATAAAAAATTAAAAAATGTTTTTTTTTGCAGATATAAAAACTCTTTGATAAAATATAATAGCAGAAAATTGAATTCATCATAAACATTATAGTTTGAGGCACTACGACAAATCTATTTCAAAATATTTACATAAAATGGAAAAGTTGAAAGCTTGTTCATTTTAATCTCCAACATACAACATTGAATCTATGATTTTTACTATCCTATTGAAGTAAAAATATCCAGAGATTAAAACATTTTTTTTTGTGTGTTGAACTTACCAAAGGGCATTTAATTGAGTACAAAAGCTATCCTTATATAAATGAACATAGGAAATATTTTCTATGCTTTTGGAATTGAATTCATCAAGTTGGTTTCCTGTATTCATGATGTCTTGTTCTGACAATTTTGGATAGATCATATAAATTAATTCAATAGAAAACAGAAAACTGCTCAATTAACTTTAGATAATTTTTTGACTAGCTTTGTCATTATCAGGGAAATGAACATGTCAGAAATAAACTTTAATTGAATAGTGATTGTGAAAAGAGAAAATGTTTTTGAATTTTTTGAAAAAACCAGAAATCAAAGTTTAATAATTCAGTTCCCATTTACTTTTTGCTACTAAATATGAGTTTGTTTTTCAGAAGCATATTCAGAAACGCGTTGTTTGAACTAAACCCTTTTACTCCAGAAAATCTTAGAGCGATCGAAAAATTGTTAAGAATGGCGTTTAATGAACCGCTAACCCAGAAGTCTACTTAACCTTTAGTAAAATTTCCGATCAGTTCGATTAAAGCGAATACAACTGAAATAGCTAATATTAAACTTCATAGTAACAAAATGAACGAATATTGAAATTATTGACATCAAAATTGACTTGTACTGCTTAATTATAACTGATTCTATTGAATTTCTGTAGCACAAAACCGCAAAAATATCTCAATATATTCAAACCATAACATATTTGCAACTTTTGTCAGTATTCAATCTATCAAAAATCAAACGAGACATAAGACAACCCAAAAATATTCATCAGTTTTATTGAAATGCAATATCGGGCTTTATTTTGATGCACAAAAATATTTCAATATTCGAAATTGTTATTACATTGCCTAAATGCTTTGAATAGTTTTTGTCCGATGACATATACGAGATCATTCGATATTTATAGAATCCATGTAACAACTGATATGAAAGGACAACGGTGAAAAGAAGGATTGGTAGATTTATGAATATTTTCGAGTTTTTTCTGCTGTTGAAAGTCACTAATTGGGTTTATGAAATTTTTCTGTGAAAACCCATCATGATGTCTATTGTATGAAATGATTCTTTGAATTCCGAATAATAATCCACAAATCAAAAATTCATTAATACTTCCAATTTACAGAAATTTTTTACAATAAGCTTTAGTACTAATTTCAAAATGCACAAAATCGAAGCTATAAAAGATAAAAGCAAATGGCATTTTTGCTGCTTCGACCAAAGACTGAAATCCGATTTCCAATACATCCTCTTAATACTTTTATGTTCCTCATTCATAGATGCTCCAGCTACAAAACATGTGACTAGTTATTTTAACGAAAAATCTGTTACTAAATGGCAAAAAATGAGGATAGAAAGACAAGCAATAGCCGCAGCTTATTTTGGTATTGAAAAATTGAAAGAATAGAAGCAGAGTTGGGTTGCTGAGGAACTGATAGCTTTTAACATCAACATAATGGATGTGAATTAATATTCAACATCAGTTTAACTTGGTTCGTAAGACAAACGATTCAGAGGACTTCAAATTTAATCTCAAATACGAATT